CTCCAGTCCCTGGCTCCCTGTTCCGGCAGCAGCAGCAGCAGACACAGGTTAGTTTGGAGGTGGTTCACTTCCCAGCATCCACTAGGAGGACGGGGGCGGAGATTAAGGACACTGAGCTGCAAGTGGGCCGGCGGGTGGAGTTCTGTTCTGTCTCCACGGCATCCATGACTCCAAAAACGTCTCGCGCCGCCCCCGCAGCCTTCCCAGAGCTCAGCGGGAGAGAGGGGGAGGAGAGGAAAGAGGAGAGGAAGGTAGAAGAGAAAAGGGTGGAGGAGAGAACGAACGAGAAGAAGGGGGAAACAGAGGAGAAAAACAAGGAGGAAAGAACAGAAGAGAAGGAGGGAAAGGAGGGTGAGGAGCAGACAAAGGAAGAGGAGAGGTTGGACGAGGCGGTGCAGGAGGATGGTTTGGACGAGGCGGTGCAGGAGGAGAGGTTGGACGAGGCGGTGCAGGAGGATGGTTTGGACGAGGCGGTGCAGGAGGAGAGGTTGGACGAGGCGGTGCAGGAGGAGAGGTTGGACGAGGCGGTGCAGGAGGATGGTTTGGACGAGGCGGTGCAGGAGGAGAGGTTGGACGAGGCGGTGCAGGAGGAGAGGTTGGACGAGGCGGTGCAGGAGGAAAGGTTGGACGAGGCGGTGCAGGAGGAGAGGTTGGACGAGGCGGTGCAGGAGGAGAGGTTGGACGAGGCGGTGCAGGAGGAGAGGTTGGACGAGGCGGTGCAGGAGGAAAGGTTGGACGAGGCGGTGCAGGAGGAGAGGTTGGACGAGGCGGTGCAGGAGGTGCGGTGGGACGAGAGGGGGATGACGTGGGAGGTGTATGGGGCGGTGGTAGAGGTAGCCGTCCTGGGCTCAGCCATACAGAAACACCTCAGGAAGCATCCCTCCCCTGCCCTGCCTCCCCCTCCTCCCCTCAACCCAGCCGCCATGCCCCTGCCCTCCACCCCTCCTCAAGCCTCTGGGGCCACCCATGGGTTGTCGGGTAAGGGCTCGGCCAGGAAGAGAGGGGAGCAGGAGGGAAAGAGAGGCAGGCGCCGGAGGAACCCTTTCCGTTTGCTGTTGAAGAACATGCAGCAGCCCTACTGTCGCTCCAGATCTCATTCCACGGAGTGACACTGCAGGAACATCATCCATAACCGCCTTTCTTCACCCACTGGACCGGAGGCGAACTACATTATCTAAATTCCCCTTCCTCTGCCACTGGACCGGAGGCGAACTACATTATCTCAATTCCCCTTCCTCTGCCACTGGACCGGAGGCGAACTACATTATCTAAATTCCCCTTCCTCTGCCACTGGACCGGAGGCGAACTACATTATCTCAATTCCCCTTCCTCTGCCACTGGACCGGAGGCTAACTACATTATCTAAATTCCCCTTCCTCTGCCACTGGACCGGAGGCTAACTACATTATCTAAATTCCCCTTCCTCTGCCACTGGACCGGAGGCTAACTACATTATCTAAATTCCCCTTCCTCTGCCACTGGACCGGAGGCTAACTACATTATCTAAATTCCCCTTCCTCTGCCACTGGACCGGAGGCTAACTACATTATCTAAATTCCCCTTCCTCTGCCACTGGACCGGAGGCTAACTACATTATCTAAATTCCCCTTCCTCTGCCACTGGACCGGAGGCTAACTACATTATCTAAATTCCCCTTCCTCTGCCACTGGACCGGAGGCTAACTACATTATCTAAATTCCCCTTCCTCTGCCACTGGACCGGAGGCTAACTACATTATCTAAATTCCCCTTCCTCTGCCACTGGACCGGAGGCTAACTGCAGGTAGTCTAGCAGCTAAGAGCATTGAGCCAGTAACTGAAAGGTTACTAGTTAGTATCCCCCAGGCTGACAAGGTGAAAAAAATATGTTGTTCTTCCCTTGAGCAAGGCAGTTAACCCCCCCAGAACAACAGCTCCCCGGGCGCACCTCTCCGATTCAGAGGGGTTGGGTTAAAAGTGGAAGTCATGTTTCGGTTGGTCGTTGTGTGAAGTTGACGATATAAATAAATGTAATCCTTTCTATATTATCGCCATACACCTTCCTTGACTTACTACATTTCCCACAGTACATCATCTCCACACCCTTTACTCTGTTCCCTCGGCCACTGGACTGCAGTATACTGTTGCATGTATCTTTACACCACCTCCCAAGCCACTGGGCTGCAACTTTAATGCATTATCTCAGCCAAAATAGTTCAGACATGCCTATACTCTGTTAGCAGCCATACAGGCTAACTTGAACAGCCTGTTTGACTACAGGACTTCAGTCTAACTACATCCCAGCTAGCGCGTAACGTTCTGAGAACCCCTATGTTTCTTAGAGCTTGGCGAGAGTGTGGTCGTCCTGTAGTTATTTTTTGCGCACAACCTTCCCACAACGTTCTGGGAATGGTGCAGGATAGTTGCTTGGCTTTGGAACATTCTCAGCACATTTAAAAAAAACTGCACCAAAATACGTAATTTTCTTGGTGTTTCAGTTACTTTTTAACAGAACGTTTCCTAAAAGTTAAAACATGGTAACGTTTCATTTCAATTTTGGTAATGTTCTTGGAACAGTCTCCAACTGGTTTGACATTGGGAATTTTCTCAACTAGTTCAGAGAACGTTAAGAAACAATGTTATTTTGTGGGAATTTCAGTACATCAGCATAACGTTTTCTACAGTTTTTCCTCGTGGTTCTATTTAAAGTCATGTTCTCAAAATTGTTTCCGAGAACTTTAAGAAAACTTTCCATGAAAAAAAAACACAAGAAAACTTTAGTAACGTTCTGAGAATGTTCTAAGGATGTTATTGAAAAACATACATTCCGTTCTCAGAACGTTAAAGGGGAAACTACACCATTTTTCTAATTCATATTAATCATCTCCACCACCACTCCAACATCAACATATGTGAAAATGGCGTGTTTCTATGTTCTGTAGTAAAACAGATAGAGGAAGATAAGTGTTTCCAATGACATCATCGGTGTGCATCGTGTTGTTTTGACCAATTGTGAGTAGCCATTGCCTACTAATTGCCTACTAATTGTCTACTAATTGATTGATGTCATTGGAAACGCTTATCTTTCTCAATCTTTTTTAATACAAAACATAGAAAAGTGCCATTTTGGGGTGGTGCTGAAGATGATGAATATGAAGTTGAACAATTTTGCAATTTCCCTTTAAGAAAACTTTTCATAAAAACCACAAGAAAAAACTTCAGTAACGTTCAGTTCTCAGCATCAACAAAACTCTCTCTATCCTCTAAGCGTGTTCAGGTGTGTTGGCCACGCCCACTAAAGTGAACAGCTTCGCATGCGTAAAAAAAACATGGCCATCCTGGAGGCGCAGTGGACTAATTCTATGGATAGAGAACCGAAGATTATAGGTTGAAATCTCACCGACGCCGTGCCACAATAAAAAAGAAATGTATTTGCATGATTAATGCCTAAGGAAATGAATTTCTATTTGTGCTTGTCGTTCAAAATAGTTAACCCAAAATAAGCTAGCAGTGTTGTTAAAAGTTTATTGAAACATTCAGTGAACGTTTTAAGGAAGTTATTCAAAAACCTCCAAATAACCTATAATTTCCCTTTCAGATCGTTAATAAAACCTCAGAGGAAAACTTTAAAGGAAACCTAAAAAGAAATGTTCCCAGAACAGGCTACATTTTCACTTCTATTCTCAGAACATTTATAAGACTTTCAGTTTTACCGGTCAGGAAACATATCGCTTCGTTCCCACAACCAACGTGAAACCAAAAACATACGTTCCCACAACTTCCAAGGAACCAGATCTGCTAGCTGGGATTATTTTATGACTACCACATGACCAAAAGACTTCAGTCATACCTGTACTCTGTTAGCAGCCATACAGGCTAACTTTACCAGCCTGTTTGACTATTGGACTTCAGTCTAACTACCTCAGGCTAATTCTCTCAGTCAATGGACAGCAGACTACCTACATTAAGGACTGTAGGTTAACTACATTATCTCTAAATTTAAGGACTTTGGGCCAACTTCAATCTTAGGGCTGCAAGGCAAGTTAACAATGTTATCACAGAGGACAAACAAAATTATCTCGATAATGAGACTAACAACATTATCACAGCCACAGGACTGACTACATTATTCTAATAATGAGACTAACAACATTACCATAGCCATTTTTTGTAATGCAGTTAAAAATAAAAAATCTAATACACCGCTCGCTATTTCTCTCTCACTTTTTTCACGTTTGTTAAATCTGGCAGCTGCAAGAGGAACTTCGTCATGGAAACATGACAACATGTCACTTCTTTTCAAGATTTAAAAAAATGTTCTTCTTTGGTTTTGAAAAATGTATGGGTAGACTTTTTTTTGCATGTTGTCTTTAACCTGTTTTCTTTATAGAGACCCTGAATGATGGTTGTTATGTTGTTTATTGTATTATTTCTTTGTGTTATTGTGCAAATGTTACTTTTTGAAAAATATGTTCAATGGCAATTGTACAATCAAAGTAATTTTCAAAAGTATTAATTCCTACAGCTAAATGTATGCATTGCCAGCTACATTGATAATCACATTTTGTGATAGTTATCTTGTCGATTGTGATGTGAGACTATGTACCTTTTCATTTGTTTAAGTTAATGGTAATTCATCCCTTAAAGGAATAGTGTGAGATTCTAGTTAGCATGCTAACTGTTCTGGTTAGCAATGGCTCACGACAATAACCTCAACCTCCTTCAAACTGCACACAAAGACATAAAAATGGTGTCCACGAGTTCATCTGACTCTGGGTAAGTAAAAAAGGGCTTAATTGCCAGAATCTTGCACTATCCCTTTAAGAACCATAGACGTTAATATTTACATTTTAGTCATTTAGCAGACGCTCTTATCCAGAGCGACTTACAGTTAGTGAGTGCATAATTTATTTATTTTTTTTCATGGCCCCCCGTGGGAATCGAACCCACAACCCTGGCGTTGCAAGCGCCATGCTCTATTAACTGAGCTACATGGGACAATACCATTGTTTCAAGAATGCATATTTGAAGAAAAACCCATTTTATTAGATGATTACACTTGCCTTCATTTTAATACATCTGATCCGAATATCTGAAATGATCAATTCAACACACTCCTCCACACCTGTATCGCTTTAGGGTTAGCCTCAGCTCTCACGCAACCCCACTTACACCCTCACTTAAACTCACAAACACCAGGCACCAATTACATGTTGAGTAGGAATATAGAGACGTGTTTAGAAGTTACTGCTTGAAGTTCCTACACTTGAAGGGTCGTACTAAAAAAAAAACACAGGAATCCAGATACAAATGCTTAGTTTCATTAGAACGGAAAACACGGAATGAAATTAAAATAAAAAAACATGACATCACAAAGCATAATGTATTCAAAATATCAATCAAATCTTTACATATTCCGAAAAAATAATAATAAAGTGATTCGCAACGAAAACATTTTATTTTTGCTTTTTATCCCAAAGTGTCATGTTTTTCACTGTCCCTTTAGGTTGATGTTGTTCAGCTAAAAACAATGGATTCATGAGGACATTGGCACTCTTGGCGAAAAGCTGGCTAGCTTGTGATTTACCGTAGCAGCCAATAGCAAGCCGGACGATTTAAGATCACTGTACTATGTGTTGTGATAAAATGGTTACGTATGGAAATATTCCCTCAATTTAATCAAATAGTAACATAAAAACGAGTGGATCAACACAAACAAAATATTTGATTGAGCTTGATTTAATCTCAAAAGCCAGATTGTCTATCTATCACAGAGTTCGTCATCATCCTTTTCCAGGACCCGCGTTCAGTGTCTTAGATCCCAAGATGGCCGTCACAGCTCAGCGGTACTGCCCCCCCAAAAAGGTCAGTGATACTGACCCAAAATGGCCGTCACAGCTCAGTGAAACTGACCCAAGATGGCGGCCACTCACAGGTCTGTGGTGCTGAGTGAAGGGCTGGCGAAGGAGAAACTAGGGCTGTCGTTGTCTTTCTTCCTGCCACGCTGGGCCAAGGCTTCACCTAGAGGCTCGCTGTAGGCGTTATCTGCTCCCCACTCCTCATCCTCCTCCTGGATCATCTACACAGGGAGGAGACAGGCATGACCATCCAGAATAATGGTAATAACATAGTAATAATAATAATAATAATAATAATAATAATAATAACTATAACGTTACCATCATGGGCATTGTATCCTTGTCAGACATGACCATGTCCATGTTGTAGTCCAAGGAATTGAGGCTTGAATTTAAAAAGAAATGCACTAAATTAGAGTCATATACAAGTGAGGTCATGACGACGACATCTTCATTAATGTTAACAGTAATAACTCAATACTGTCCAATGGAGGACAACGATCAAAGAACATTACCAGTATAGACATGTTGTAACACTGTCTTGGTTGCGTGATAGGAAAGTGCTGGATTTAATGGTGATGCGTAAATACACGTGGATATGTCTGTGTCTCAGATGACACCCACATCTACACATGTTCACATGGCTCTGTAGTGTAGAGTAGTGTAGTGTAGAATAGTGTAGTGTAGTGTAGTGTAGTGTAGATTAGAGTAGTGTAGTGTAGTGTAGAGTAGTGTAGTGTAGTGTAGTGTGGTGTAGAGTAGTGTAGTGTAGAGTAGTGTAGTGTAGAATAGTGTAGTGTAGTGTAGTGTAGTGTAGAGTAGTGTAGAGTAGTGTAGTGTAGAATAGTGTAGTGTAGTGTAGTGTGGTGTGTGTAGTTTGGGTGTAGTGTAGTGTAGTGTGTGTGTGTGTGTGTAGTGTAGTGTGGTTGTGTGTAGGTAGGTAGTGTAGTGTAGTGTAGTGTGTGTAGTGTAGGTGTAGAGTAGGGTAGTGTTAGTGTAGAGTAGTTAGTGTAGTGTAGTTGTAGGTAGTGATGTAGTGTAGGTTAGTGTTGTGTAGTGTAGTGTAGTGGAGTGGGTTGTAGTGTAGAGTAGTGTAGTGTAGTAAGTGTAGTGTAGTGTAGTGTAGTGTAGTAGTGTAGTGTAGTGTAGTGAGTAGTTAGTTAGTGTAAGTGTTTGTGTTAGTTTGTTGAGTGTAGTGTGTGTAGTGTGTAGGTTAGTGTAGTGTAGTGGTAGTGTGTGTAGTATGTAGTGTTTAGTGTAGTGTGTAGTGTGTAGTGTAGTGTAGTAGGTAGTGTAGTGGTGTAGTAGGTAGTGTAGTGTGTAGTGTAGTGTAGTGTAGTGTGTAGTGTAGTAGGTAGAGTAGTGTATGTAGTGGTAGTGTAGTGTAGTGTAGTGTAGTGTAGTGTAGAGTAGTGTAGTGTAGTAGGTGTAGTGTAGGTGTGTAGGTAGTGTAGAGATGTAGTGTGTGTAGGAGTGTAGGTAGTGTAGGTGTTGTAGTGTAGTGTAGAGTGAGGTAGGTGTGTAGTAGTGGTAGTGTAGTGTGTGTAGTAGTGTAGTGTAGTGTAGTGTAGTGTAGTGTAGTGTGTGTGTAGTGTTAGTGGTAGTGTAGTGTGTGTGTGTGTAGAGTCATAGGCTGTGTATGTAGTCGTGTATGTGGTAGGTAGTGTAGTCGTGTGTGTGTAGTGTAGTGTGTAGAGTAGGTAGTGTGGTAGTGTAGAGTAGTGTAGATCAGTGTAGTCGTAGAATACGTGTCGTGCTACAGTAGGTAGATAGTGTGTACGTAGTCAGTAGTTAGTCGAAGTAGGTGTGAGTGTACGTGTAGTCAGGTGAGTACAGGTTAGCCTAGAATCAGAGTGGTCAGAGAGCACACACGTTAGACCTGTACACATCCGTGGTCAGAGACACATGTGTGTACCCTAGAACACGGTCGTAGGTAGTACACATGTACTCCTAGTAAACACCAGGTCAGATGCACTGACGTGTTACTAGACCCATCAGGTGAGCACGTTACCCTAGACACAACCAGGGTCAGAGACAACATCGTTACCCTAGACACACACCCAGGTCAGGACAACACTGTTACCCCTAGACACACCCAGGTCAGAGACAACACGTTTACCCTAGACACACACCAGGGTCAGAGACAACACTGTACCCCTAGACACACACCCAGGGTCAGAGACAACACTGTTACCCTAGACCACACCCAGGGTCAGAGACAAACACTGTACCCCAGAACACACCAAGGGTCAGAGACAACACTGTTACACCTAGACACCACACCCAGGGTCAGAGACAACACTGTTACCCCTAGACCACACACCCAGGGTCGAGACAACACTGTACCCCTAGACACACCCCAGGGTCAGATACAAACCACTGTTACCCCTAGACACAACCCAGGGTCAGAGGACAACACTGTTACCCCTAACACCACCGGGTCAGAGACACCACTGTACCCCTAGACCACACAACCCAGGGTCAGAGGACAAACATGTTACCCTAGACACACACCCAGGGTCAGAGGGACAACACCGTACCCCTACACACACCACCCGGGTCAGAAGAGACCAACACTGTTACCCCCTAGACACACAACCCAGGTCAGAGACAACACTGTTAACCCTAGACACCACACCCAGGGTCCAGAGACAACACTTACCCCTTAGACACCCCCCGGGTCAGAGACAACAACCTGTTACCCCTAGACACACACCCAGGGTCAGAGACAACACTGTTACCCCTAGACACACACCCAGGGTCAGAGACAACACTGTTACCCCTAGACACACACCCAGGGTCAGAGACAACACTGTTACCCCTAGACACACACCCAGGGTCAGAGACAACACTGTTACCCCTAGACACACACCCAGGGGTCAGAGACAACACTGTTACCCTAGACACACACCCAGGGTCAGAGACAACACTGTTACACCTAGACACACACCCAGGGTCAGAGACAACACTGTTACCCTAGGACACACACCCAGGGTCAGAGGACAACACTGTACCCCTAGACACACACCCAGGGTCAGAGACAACACTGTTACCCCTAGACACACACCCAGGGTCAGAGACAACACTGTTACCCCTAGACACACCACCCAGGGTCAGAGACAACACTGGTTACCCTAGACACACACCCAGGGTCAGAGACAAACACTGTTACCCCTAGACACACACCCAGGGTCAGAGGCACAACACTGTTTACCCCTAGACACACACCCAGGGTCAGAGGCAACACTGTTACCCTAGACACACACCCAGGGTCAGAGACAACACTGTTACCCCTAGACACACACCCAGGGTCAGAGACAACACTGTTACCCCTAGACACACACCCAGGGTCAGAGACAACACTGTTACCCCTAGACACACACCCAGGGTCAGAGACAACACTGTTACCCCTAGACACACCACCCAGGGTCAGAGACAACACTGTTACCCTAGACACACACCCAGGGTCAGAGACAACACTGTTACCCTAGACACACACCCAGGGTCAGAGACAACACTGTTACCCCTAGACACACAACCCAGGGTCAGAGCAACACTGTTACCCCTAGACACAACACCAGGGTCAGAGACAACACTGTTACCCTAGACACACACCCAGGGTCAGAGACAACACTTGGTTACCCCTATGCACCACACACCAGGTACAGATGACAACCTGTCTACCACCTAGACAACAACCAGGGTCAGAGACAACACTGTTACCCCTAGACACACACCCAGGGTCAGAGACAACACTGTGAGGCTACCCTACTTCCCTAATACATTGGCAATTCTAACATGTGAAATGACTTGATAACCTGGTTTTCAATACATCTGAAATGTGCTATGTACTAAAAACTAAACATGCACTAAACATGCACTAAACATGCACTAAACATGCACTAAACATGCACTAAACATGCACTAAACATGCACTCCAAACTAGCTTTTCAGGTTTTTGTGAAAGCAAAGACAGGGTGGAATGGATTTTTTACATGTTAAATTACATTTGTGTTACAATTAAAATACAGTGCCTTCAGAAAGTATTCAGACCCCTTGACCTTTTCCACATTTTGTTACGTTACAGCCTTATTCTAAAATGGATTAAATTGTTTTTTCCCCATGATCAATCTACATACAATACCCCATAATGACAAAGCAAAAACAGATTTTTATCAATTTCACCAAATTTATAAAAAAATGAAAAACGGAAATATTACATTTACATAAGTATTCAGACCCTTTACTCAGTACGTTGTTGAAGCACCTTTGGCAGCGATTACAGCTTTGAGTCTTCTTGGGTATGACGCTACAAGCTTGGCACACCTGTATTTGGGGAGTTTCTCCCATTCTTCTCTGCAGATCCTCTCAAGCTCTGTGAAGTTGGATGGGGAGCGTCGCTGCACAGCTATTTTCAGGTCTCTCCAGAGATGTTCGATCGGATTCAAGTCCGGGCTCTGGCTGGGCCACTCAAGGACATTCAGAGACTTGTCCCGAAGTCACTCCTGCATTGTCTTGGATGTGTGCTTAGGGTCGTTGTCCTGTTGGAAGGTGAACCTTCGCCCCACTATGAGGTCCTGAGCACTCTGGAGCAGGTTTTCATCAAGGATCTCTCTGTACTTTGCTCCGTTCATCTTTCCCCCGATCCTGACTAGTCTCCCAGTCCCTGCCGCTGAAAAACATCCCCACAGCATGATGCTGCCACCACCATGCTTCACCGTAGGGATGGTGCCAGGTTTCCTCCAGACGTGACGATTGGCATTCAGTCCAAATCTTGGTTTCATCAGACCAGAGAATCTTGTTTCTCATGGTCTGAGTCCTTTAGATGCCTTTTGGCAAAATCCAAGTGGGCTGTCATGTGCCTTTTACTGAGGAGTGGCTTCCGTCTGGCCACTCTACCACAAAGGCCTGATTGGTGGAGTGCTGCAGAGATGGTTATCTTTCTGGAATGTTCTCCGATCTCCACAGAGGAACTCTGGAGCTCTGTCAGAGTGACCATCGGGTTCTTGGTCACCTCCCTGACCAAGACCTTTCTCCCCCGATTGCTCAGTTTGGCCGGGAGGCCAGCTCTAGGAATAGTCTTGGTGGTTACAAACTTCTTCCATTTAAGAATGATGGAGGCCACTGTGTTCTTGGGGACCTTCAATGATGCACAATTTTGTTTTTGGTACCCTTCCCCAGATCTGTGCCTCGACACAATCCTGTCTCTGAGCTCTACGGACAATTCCTTCAACCTCATGGCTTGGTTTTTGCTCTGACATGCACTGTCAGCTGTGGGACCTTATATAGACAGGTGTGTGACTTTCCAAATCAGGTCCAATCAATTGAATTTACCACAGGTGGACTCCAATCAAGTTGAAGAAACATCTCAAGGATGATCAATGGAAACAGGACGAACCTGAGCTCAATTTCGAGTCTCAAAGCCAAAGGTTCTGTAACTAAGGTATTTCATTTGTTATTTTTAATACATTTAAAAAACTGTTTTTGCTTTGTCATTATGGGGTATAGTGTGCAGATCGATGAGGAAAATGTTTTATTTAGGTGCTTCAACAACGTACTGAGTAAAGGGTCTGAATACTTATGTAAATGTGATATTTCAGTTTTGCAAACATTTCTAAAAACCTGTTTTTGCTTTGTCATTATGGGGTATTGTGTATAGATTGATGAGGGGGGAAAAAACTATTTTATCAATTTTAGAATAAGGCTGTAATGTAACAAAATGTGGGAAAAAGTCAAGGGGTCTGAATACTTTCCGACTGCACTGTGTGTTATTGTGTAATTATTGGATGCACCCTATGGGTCTCGGGTCAAAACTAGTGCACTATGTAAGGAATAGGGTGCCATTTGGGATGCAGTCTATGTGTGGAGGACAGGACTCACCCCTCCATGGTGTACTTGTTGGTTCCAGGAACGACAGGCCCACTCTTCTGATCTCCACCAGTCACCACCTTGGCTGCTGAGTTCATGGCTTTAGCTGCCTTCAGCTTCGTTCTGTAGCTGTAAAATGTTACCATCCATTGGTTAGTTACCCATGCTTACTAACCCATACTAGTTACCCATACTAACTAACCCATACTAGTTACCCATACTAACTAACCTATATTAGTTACCCATACTAACTAACCCACACTAACTAACCCATAATAGTTACCCATACTAACTAACCAGTAGCCTTCCACAAGCTTCCCAAAATAAGTTGGTTAAATTTTGGCCCATTCCTCCTGACAGAGCTGGTGTAACTGAGTCAGGTTTGTAGGCCTCCTTGCTCGCACACGCTTTTTCAGTTCTGCCCACACATTTTCTATAGGATTGAGGTCAGGGCTTTGTGATGGCCACTCCAATACCTTGACTTTTTGTCCTTAAGCCATTTTGCCACAACGTTGGAATTATGCTTGGGGTCATTGTCCTTTTGGAAGACCCATTTGCGACCAAACTTTAACTTCCTGACTGATGTCTTGAGATGTTGCTTCAATATATCCACCTAATTTTCCTTCCTCATGATGCCATCTATTTTGTGAAGTGCACCAGTCCCTCCTGTAGCAAAGCACCCCCACAGCATGATGCTGCCACCCCCGTGCTTCACGGTTGAAATGGTGTTCTTCGGCTTGCAAGCGACCCCCTTTTTCCTCCAAACATAACAATGGTCATTATGGCCAAACAGTTATATTTCTGTTTCATCAGACCAGAGGGAATTTCTCAAAAAAGTACGATCTTTGCCCCCATGTGCAGTTGCAAACCGTAGTCTGGCTTTTTTATGGCGGTTTTGGAGCAGTGGTTTCTTCCTTGCTGAGCGGCCATTCAGGTTATGTCGATATAGGACTCGTTTTACTGTGGATATAGATATTTTTGTAACTGTTTCCTCCAGCATCTTCACAAGGTCCTTTGCTGTTGTTCTGGGATTGATTTGCACTTTTCGCACCAAAGTACGTTCATCTCTAGGAGACAGAACGCGTCTCCTTCCTGAGCGGTGTGACGGCTGCGTGGTCCCATGGTGTTTATACTTGCGTACTATTGTTTGTACAGATGAACGTGGTACCTTCAGGCGTTTGGTAATTGCTCCCAAGGATGAACCACACTTGTGGAGGTCTGCAATTGTTTTTCTGAGGTCTTGGCTGATTTCTTTTGATTTTCCCATGATGTCAAGCAAAATGGCACTTAGTTTGAAGGTAGGCCTTGAAATATATCCACAGGTACACCTCCAATTGACTCAAATTATGTCAATTAGCCTATCAGAAGCTTCTAAAGCCATTACATCATTTTCTGGAATTTTCCAAGCTGTTTAAAGGCACAGTCAACTTAGTGTATGTAAAATTCTGACCCACTGGAATTGTGATACAGTGAATTATAAGTGAAATAATCTGTCTGTAAACAATTGTTGGAAAAATTACTTGTGTCATGTACAAAGTAGATGTCCTAACCGACTTGCCAAAACTTTAGTTTGGTTGAAAAACAAGTGGTTGAAAAACAAGTTTTAATGACTCCAACCTAAGTGTATGTAAACTTCCGACTTCAACTGTATCTGTATTCCCAGTCATGTAAAATCCATTGATGATTGCCTAATGAATTTATTTCAATTGACTGATTTCCTTATGAGAACTTTAACGCAGTAAAATCTTTGAAATTGTTGCACGTTGCATTTATATTTTTGTTCTGTGTATATAATAATATCTAGCAATCTAGCAGACACTATTATCCAAAGCAGTCATGCGTGCATAAATGTTTTACATATGGGTGGTCCTGGGAATTGAACCTAATATCCTGGCATTGCAAGAGCCGTGCTCTACCAACTGAGCTACAGAGGACCACATGAAGCACAATGCCTTGAGCTGCTTTTGATAGTGTTCTGAAGAAGATTGATCATAAATTGTAATCCCTCCGAATTTCTTAAGAACTTCTCAGATTTCTTCTTAGGACCATAATGGCGAGGACGAGGGGATGAGGGGATGAGGGGATGAGGGGATGAGAGGATGAGGGGATGAGGGGATGAGAGGATGAGGGGATGAGAGGATGAGGGGATGAGGGGATGAGGGGATGAGAGGATGAGGGGATGAGGGGATGAGGGGATGAGGGGATGAGGGGATGAGAGGATGAGGGGATGAGAGGATGAGAGGATGAGGGGATGGCCGTTTTACGGGCTTTTAACCAATCGTGCTGTTCTGTGTGTATTTTTTTTTGTTTGTAACTTTTTTTGTACATAATGTTTTCTGCCACCGTCTCTTATGACCGAAAAGAGCTTCTGGACATCAGAACAGCGATTACTCACCTCAGACTGGACAAAGATGTTTTATTTAACGAATTGGAGGTGAAAGATTTACAGCTCCTACCGGACCGGGCCCAAATCCCTGTCATTCGCATGAAGTGGAGACGCAGATACAGGTGGAGCAGATCCGGGTGCTTGGTGAGAATTCGTCAGTGAGTGGATAATCCGCCTTTAACATCCGTCCTACTGGCGAACGTACAATCACCGGAGAATAAACTGGATGAGCTCCTTTCAAGACTATCCTACCAACGGGACATTAAAAACTGTAATATATTATGTTTCACCGAGTCATGGCTGAACGACGACATGGATAATATAGAGCTGGCTGGGTTTTCCGTGCATCGGCAGGACAGAACAGCTACCTCCGGTAAGACGAGGGGTGGTGGTCTGTGTCTATTTGTCAAGAACAGCTGGTGCGCAATCTCTAATATTAAGGAAGTCTCTAGGTTTTGCTCGCCTGAGGTAGAGTACCTCATGATAAGCTGTAGACCACATTATTTACCAAGAGAGTTTTCATCTATATTTTTCATAGCCGTCTATTGACCACCACAAACCGATGCTGGCACTAAGACCACACTCAACGAGCTGTATAAGGCCATAAGCAAACAGGAAACTGCTCATCCAGGTGTGGCCCTCCTAGTGGCCGGGGACTTTAATGAAAACGTACATCCGTTTTACCTAATTTCTACCAGAATGTCACATGCTCAAAATGGCCAGAAACAAAGAACTTTCTTCTGAAACTCGTCAGTCTATTCTTATTCTGAGAAATAAAGGCTATTAGTTTGAGAAACAGGCGCCTCACAGGTCCTCAACTGGCAGCTTCATTAAATAGTACCCCCAAAACACCAGTCTCAACGTCAACAGTGAAGAGGCGACTCCGGGATGCTGACCTTCTAGGCAGAGTTGCAAAGAAAATGCCATATCTCAGACTGCCCATCTTAATCTTTTCTTATTATTGCCCAGTCTGAGATATGGCTTCTTCTTTGCAACTCTGCCTAGAAGGTCAGCATCCCGGAGTCTCCACTTCACTGTTGACCTTGAGACTGGTGTTTTGCGGGTACTATTTAATGAAGCTGCCAGTTGAGGACCTGTGAGGCGCCTGTTTCTCAAACTAGACACTCTAATGTATTTGTCCTCTTGCTCAGTTGTGCACCTGGGCCTCCCACTCCTCTTTCTATTATAGCCTCATTACTACCTGGTACCCCCTGTATATAACCTCATTACTACCTGGTACCCCCTGTATATAGCCTCATTACTACCTGGTACCCCCTGTATATAGCCTCATTACTACCTGGTACTTCCTGTATATAGCCTCATTACTACCTGGTACTTCCTGTATATAGCCTCATTACTACCTGGTACCCCCTGTATATAGCCTCATTACTACCTGGTACCCCCTGTATATAGCCTCATTACTACCTGGTACCCCTTGTATATAGCCTCATTACTACCTGGTACCCCCTGTATATAGCCTCATTACTACCTGGTACCCCCTGTATATAGCCTCATTACTACCTGGTACTTCCTGTATATAGCCTCATTACTACCTGGTACCCCCTGTATATAGCCTCATTACTACCTGGTACCCCCTGTATATAGCCTCATTACTACCTGGTACACCCTGTATATAGCCTCATTACTACCTGGTACCCCCTGTATATAGCCTCATTACTACCTGGTACTTCCTGTATATAGCCTCATTATCGTTATTTTACTGTGCTACTTTTTATTGTTTCATATTTTTTAACTTACTTAAAATAAAATCTGCACTGTTGGTTAAGTAAGCATTTCACTGTTGTATTCGGCGCATGTGAAAAATAAAATTGTATTTGATTTAGTGAATCGTTAAGTATCAAACATGTCAGAATGCTGATCTAGGATAAGGTCCCCCCAGTCCATATCATTATAATCTAAAGGACTAAACTAATCCTAGATAAGCACTCTTGAGATGTTTGATACATACGTGCCCAGGACTCAGCTTACCTCCTGCGGGTGCAGACGAGAGATGTTGTCATGACAGCCAGGACGATGATGAGGCCCGCCACCAGCCCCAACAGAACGAACAGTACTGGATCCACCTTCTTCTCTGTCACCACAGTCCCCCCCTGCAACACCACACAGAGTTCAGAGTAGGTTACGGTAACTTTCCCCAAATTCCCTGGTTTTCCAGAAATCATTGTAGGAGGATTCCAGAATTCTTGCTTATTGCCTCCTGATTCCGGGAATCTTCCAATAAGGATTTCTGGAAAACCTGGACATTTTAAGGAAAGTTACCAGAATTTTGCAACCCTAGCTCAGGGGAACATTCCTATAGTGGCCCAAAGTCAGATCGTACTGTAAGAGATCTTTACTGCATAGGTGGTCCTCTGTAGATCAATTGGTAGAGCATGGCGCTTGTAACGCCAGGGTAGTGGGTTCGATCCCCGGGACCACCCATACGTAAAAATGTATGCACACATGACTGTAAGTCGCTTTGGATAAAAGCGTCTGCTAAATGGCATATTATATTATTATTATTTATTACAAATATAGCATAAAAATAGCATAACATAATAAACTACAGACATTTTTTAAAAATGTATTCATGTATAAATTTAACCATTCATGTGGAAGTCCCTATAGCAGGGATCATCAACTAGATTCAGGTGCGGGCCGATTTGTTCTTGAGCAGATGGTCGAGGGGCCAGGAACATAATTACAAATCATTTGTAGACTGCAAATTGACCGCAAGAAGCCCAAACAGATATAATGTTTGACTAAAACATTAATCATTTCAAACCTTTCTTATATTTGTATATGATCACGTGTCTCTATTATGTGTGGAAATACTTGGGAACAGATTTCCCCCAATTAAAAATCACTTGGAGCGGATTTCCTGGTGTTTTAACAATTTATTTAAAATGTCTAACAATGAAAATGCACCCACATTTTTTTTATGTTGCTCAGAAAACATGGGGGGGGGGGGGGGGGGGGGGGGGGGGGGGACCCTGCCCTATAGGAATCATATTCCCTATGTAGTGCACTACTTTTCACCAGAGCCCTGGTCAAAAATAGTGTACAACATCAGGAATAGGGTGTCATTTTGGACACAGTCCAAGAGGAATATTATTTAGCATGTCCATGGCATATAGAGTCCCAGAGCCAGGGTGTGACATTAGCATGTCCATGGCATATAGAGTCCCAGAGCCAGGGTGTGACATTAGCATGTCCATGGCATATAGAGTCCCAGAGCCAGGGTGTGACATTAGCATGTCCATGGCATATAGAGTCCCAGAGCCAGGGTGTGACATTAGCATGTCCATGGCATATAGAGTCCCAGAGCCAGGGTGTGACATTAGCATGTCCATGGCATATAGAGTCCCAGAGCCAGGGTGTGACATTAGCATGTCCATGGCATATAGAGTCCCAGAGCCAGGGTGTGACATTAGCATGTCCATGGCATATAGAGTCCCAGAGCCAGGGTGTGACATTAGCATGTCCATGGCATATAGAGTCCCAGAGCCAGGGTGTGACATTAGCATGTCCATGGCATATAGAGTCCCAGAGCCAGGGTGTGACATTAGCATGTCCATGGCATATAGAGTCCCAGAGCCAGGGTGTGACATTAGCATGTCCATGGCATATAGAGTCCCAGAGCCAGGGTGTGACATTAGCATGTCCATGGCATATAGAGTCCCAGAGCCAGGGTGTGACATTAGCATGTCCATGGCATATAGAGTCCCAGAGCCAGGGTGTGACATTAGCATGTCCATGGCATATAGAGTCCCAGAGCCAGGGTGTGACATTAGCATGTCCATGGCATATAGAGTCCCAGAGCCAGGGTGTGACATTAGCATGTCCATGGCATATAGAGTCCCAGAGCCAGGGTGTGACATTAGCATGTCCATGGCATATAGAGTCCCAGAGCCAGGGTGTGACATTAGCATGTCCATGGCATATAGAGTCCCAGAGCCAGGGTGTGACATTAGCATGTCCATGGCATATAGAGTCCCAGAGCCAGGGTGTGACATTAGCATGTCCATGGCATATAGAGTCCCAGAGCCAGGGTGTGACATTAGCATGTCCATGGCATATAGAGTCCCAGAGCCAGGGTGTGACATTAGCATGTCCATGGCATATAGAGTCCCAGAGCCAGGGTGTGACATTAGCATGTCCATGGCATATAGAGTCCCAGGGGTTAGCATGTCCATGGCATATAGAGTCCCAGAGCCAGGGTGTGACATTAGCATGTCCATGGCATATAGAGTCCCAGAGCCAGGGTGTGACATTAGCATGTCAATGGCATATAGAGTCCCAGAGCCAGGGTGTGACATTAGCATGTCCATGGCATATAGAGTCCCAGAGCCAGGGTGTGACATTAGCATGTCCATGGCATATAGAGTCCCAGAGCCAGGGTGTGACATTAGCATGTCCATGGCATATAGAGTCCCAGAGCCAGGGTGTGACATTAGCATGTCCATGGCATATAGAGTCCCAGAGCCAGGGTGTGACATTAGCATGTCCATGGCATATAGAGTCCCAGAGCCAGGGTGTGACATTAGCATGTCCATGGCATATAGAGTCCCAGAGCCAGGGTGTGACATTAGCATGTCCATGGCATATAGAGTCCCAGAGCCAGGGTGTGACATTAGCATGTCCATGGCATATAGAGTCCCAGAGCCAGGGTGTGACATTAGCATGTCCATGGCATATAGAGTCCCAGAGCCAGGGTGTGACATTAGCATGTCCATGGCATATAGAGTCCCAGAGCCAGGGTGTGACATTAGCATGTCCATGGCATATAGAGTCCCAGAGCCAGGGTGTGACATTAGCATGTCCAAGGCCGGGTTGGAGACAATTCAAATTCAATTCAGTGAGTTCGGGAGACTACTTGAGATTCTAAATTAAAAGTGACATTTGTTTATTGAAATAGATGTGTATTGTATGTGTATGGTAATGTCCAAGCATGAGGGAATAGTTTAATAATAGTTTCCTATAGTAAACTTACTATATTTTTCAGGCCATATTCAATCTGTAATTTGAACCGTTCATCACTATTGGACAGAATAGTCTCTGCAGAGGCAGAGTCGAGGGCCGTTCCATTGGCATTCACAAAGTACACCTCCATCACAGTATTGACAGTCTCCCTGCAAAAGAATGAAGGATATTTTTTTCTTTCTTAATTTTCCACATTTTTTAAAATTATGTATTTCTTAACTACTTGAGCAGTGACAAGGATCTACAGATCACACACACACACACACACACACACACACACACACACACACACACACACACACACACACACACACACACACACAGAATGGTGCCGAAGTGAACGGTGCTCCATTCATTTACTGTAGTAATGGGAGCACCACCTGGAGGCCTTCATCAACAGAAAGAAGAAGAAGTATGTTGGTATGTAAGCAGTCAGGGCTGGGGTCAATTACATTTCAATTCCAGTCAATTCAGGAAGTACACTGAAATTCCAATTCTAATTCTCTGCAATGCTTTTCAATTAGGAACATTTGGAATTGGAATTTTGGTTTACTTTCGGGAATTGACTTGAATTGAAATGGAATTGACCACAGCCCCCCCCCCCTGGTAGTCATGTGATATTTTTACCTGGTTTCCAGACTGTCTTTGCCAGCCCTAACCTTTACCACTTCCACTTTCGTCTGTGTTGCTGCGGTGAGAAGCCTGCAAGGAAACATTTACGAAGTTAATTAATTTATTTATTACCCACGCTGTGGTTAGAACACTTGTAAACAGCCATGGCCAACATAATCTCAATCTGAAAGTCCTTCCTATAGGAACTTCCACATGAATGGTTAAACGTATAAATGAATAAATATAAATACATGTCTGTAGTTTATTACGTTACTACATTTTTATGCTACGTTTTGTAATATAGTGAATATATGCAGTAAAGATCTCTTACAGTACGATCTGACTTTGGGCCGCTTTAACTTCTTCCACTGTTCTTGAAAATAAAAGCTCCACTTTTAAGCTCCTGTCAACTGTGAAAATCTGGAAAGGGGAATGTGAAACAAAGTGTTACTCAGACAGACAGACAGACAGACAGACAGGCAGGCAGGCAGACATGGATGAATTACAGTAAGTTTTACACCTACCTCCAGTTTGGTTTCGGAGAAGAGTTTCGGTTCTTCAGTGTTAGTTGCCCCAACTGTCACCAGATACTTTCCTTTTACATCGATATTTAGCACTTCATTGTTCCTACAACGTTGAAAGACATGTTATTTTTCTGTAAGTCATTTTCAATGTGTCTACTGCATCCATTGCAATAGTGTCAACTTAACAGCGTAAAACCTAACAAACAATGTTTACTTTTTGTCGCACAGTGGCTATTAATTATAGTGAAATCAAAGATTAAAATATGACTTGCCGGACAGCATTTATACTCACTGAATATTTCCGACGTATTTATCGTCTTCCTGTGTGGTGACAACTCGTAACACTCTATCCACGTTGGTCGTTTTATTGTTGACGGCGTCCCAGAATTGTACAGTTGTTATCGAAAATGTCATTTGCCTATTTTTCCCGGAATCACGGTCTGTGGCCTATCAAAGGGAAAAAAGGAAGACTGGAATTCATAATAACTCATATCACAGCAAGACGGCAAGTTAAATGTATTAAAACGCTACACTTTATATTAGATTAACATTTTCTTGTTGTTGATTTCTGCACAGCAAGAAGCTGTCCCACTGTGTGTAATGACGTCGTATTGCTAAGTCTACCTTTTAAGCTACATTGTGAGATTCGAAAACAAAGGAAATGTGTGCCCCGCCATTGTTTTGCTATACCTTATCAAATAGAAAATACCTGATGTTGTCCATTTTACACAGTTATACTCACAGTGACACTGGCGATTACTGAGCCTACAGAGGCACTCTCTGACACCACAACTGTAGAGGTGGGTTAAGAACACTGTTAAGTCAATCTGTAGCTATGTGGATTAATATCATAAAGTAAATTAATAAAAAAATACGATGTTTGGATATTCAGATTTACCATACAACGTGCCGAATGTTTAGAAACATATTTACCATAGAAGGACTCTGTTTTGTCGAAGGCAGGGGCGTTGTCATTGATGTCTTCAATGTTTATCACAATAATCCCTGAAATGAATTTTTAATTGTTAGAATACATTGAAATATGTTAAAGTTACAAACGTAGATATTAACAATAGTAATAGTTACAGAATAGGGTTGCACATTTCTGGTAACTTTCCCAAAATTCCCAGGTTTTCCAGATATCTCAGTTGCAGGATTCATGGAGTTCCTGCTTATTCCCTCCTGTTCCCGGGAATCTTTCAACCTGGGAATTTTACAGCCCTAGACCAAAACAGAAGTATCTGACCAAACCCAGTTGAACCAACCTGGTGTTGCGCTGTTGTTCTCCCCTTTCTGGGTGAACTCATCCACCACCTGGGCCTTCAGCTCAACCTGGTCACACATCTCATAGTCGATCACAAAGTCCTTGTTGAGCATGATCTCCCCTGTGGGCTCCAGGTTGAACCAGTCCTCTGAGCAGGGGCCCAGATCCAGGGAGCCATTACAGCGGCACCTACTGGAGACCAGCTGGTAGACCAGAGAGTGATTTTTGTCCAGGTCCACCGCCTTGATCTTTCCCACGGCTTCAGTGATAGTGGTGTTCTCCTTTACGAGCAGCGGGCCGATGGGCTTGAACTGGGGCCTCTCATCATTCACATCCAACACAATCACCTCCACGGTTATGGTGTCCGTCATCGATCCCAGGTCCATGGCCTCCACTTTCAGACTGAAGGTATTGACGCTGCTTTCGTAGTCTAGCTCGATGTCCGGGTCGACCGTGATGTTACCGATGTAACCGTCGGGTTGGTCGTTGAAGGTTCGGATGATGAATTGTCCGAAGCTTCCGCTGACGATGCTGAAGGAGATGCGGTTGTGGTCGATGGTTTTGTCTAAATCCACTGCCTGGACGGAGCCCACGAATTCAGCTGTTGGAGACAGACAGAAAGAGACGGCCTTAGGTTTTTGAATTCATGATTAGCTAGATGTTTTGATAGATTATTAAACCTTTATTATCAACCAAGCATAGAACAAATTCCTATTCACAATGACGGCATGGCAATTGGCCAGAGGCATGTTTTTTGGGGAGAAAGCTGTTTGAGGCGATGATAAATGTTTTTCTGAGGAGAAGGGGGACTAAACCACATCCTCCCTGGACTTTTAATCAGGGTAATGGTGGCAAAATGTCTGATTTCAACAAAAAGAAACATGCTTACCTTTCTTCCCCTCCTCCACTGAGAATTTGTAAGACGTTTTTCTAAACTTCGGTTTGTTGTCGTTGATGTCCTAGGTTGGAATGTAGAAGATGAGTGAAGCTTTACAATTTACAAAGCATGTTCATGAGGTTGACAAAGATACAAGGAACGAAATCCTTCCTCTTACTTCCAATCACCTCTAGAAGACACACCTACACATTAAAAACTGCACCAATCAATCTGTCTAAAGGTCTATCCAGTCTAAAAACAGATACAAGGTCTGGGTCCATATGCATAAAGCTTCTCAGATTAAGAATGCTGATCTAGGATCAGTTAGCCTTCTAAATCAAAATCGAATCAAAAACCTAATCAACTTTTATTGGTCGCACACACATATTTAGCAGATATTATTGTGGGTGTAGTGAAATGCTTGTGTTCCTAGCTCCAACAGTTCCTAGCTCCAACAGTTCCTAGCTCCAACAGTTCCTAGCTCCTGCAGTAATATCTAACAATTCAAAACAATACACAAAAATCTAAAAGTACAAGAGCGGAATTAAGAAATATATAATATTAGGAAGAGCAATATCGGACACCGGAGTATAAATGCAGTATATATATATATATATACAGTTGAAGTCGGAAGTTTACATACACCTTACCCAAATACATTTAAACTCAGTTTTTCACAATTCCTGACATTTAATCCTAGTAACAATTCCCTGTCTTAGGTCAGTTAGGATCACCACTTTATTTTAAGAATGTGAAATGTCAGAATAATAGTAGAGAGAGTGATTTATTTCAGCTTTTATTTCTTTCATCACATTCCCAGTGGGTCAGAAGTTTACATACACTCAATTAGTATTTGGTAGCATTGCCTTTAAATTGTTTAACTTGGGTCAAACGTTTTGTGTAGCCTTCCACAAGCTTCCCACAATAAGTTGGGTGAATTTTGGGCCATTCCTCCTGACAGAGCTGGTGTAACTGAGTCAGGTTTGTAGGCCTCCTTGCTCGCACACGCTTTTTCAGTTCTGCCCACAAATGTTCTATAGGATTGAGGTCAGGGCTTTGTGATGGCCACTCCAATACCTTGACTTTGTTGTCGTTAAGCCATTTTGCCACAACGTTGGAAGTATGCTTGGGCTCATTGTCCATTTGGAAGACCGATTTGCGACCAAGCTTTAACTTCCTGACTGATGTCTTGAGATGTTGCTTCAATATATCCACATAATTTTCCTTCCTCATGATGCCATCTATTTTGTGAAGTGCACCAGACCCTCCTGCAGCAAAGCACCCCCACAGCATGATGCTGCCACCCCTGTGCTTCACGGTTGGGATGGTGTTCTTCGGCTTGCAAGCCCCCCCCCCCCTTTTTCCTCCAAACATGACGATGGTCATTATGGCCAAATAGTTCTATTTTTGTTTCATCAGACCAAAGGACATTTCTCCAAAAAGTACGATCTTTGTCCCCATGTGCAGTTGCAAACCGTAGTCTGGCTTTTTTATGGCGGCTTTGGAGCAGTGGCTTCTTCCTTGCTGAGCGGCCTTTCAGGTTATGTCGATATAGGACTCGTTTTACTGTGGATATAGATACTTTTATACCTGTTTCCTCCAGCATCTTCACAAGGTCCTTTGCTGTTGTTCTGGGATTGATTTGCACTTTTCGCACCAAAGTACATTAATCTCTAGGAGACAGAACTCGTCTCCTTCCTGAGCGGTATAATAATAATAATATAATATGCCATTTAGCAGACGCTTTTATCCAAAGCGACTTACAGTCATGCGTGCATACATTTTTTTTGTGTGTATGGGTGGTCCCGGGGATTGAACCCTCTACCTTAGTGTTACAAGCGCTGTGCTCTACCAGCTGAGCTACAGAGGACCCATGCGTGGTCCCATGGTGTTTATACTTGCGTACCATTGTTTGTAAAGATGAACGTGGTACCTTCAGGTGTTTGGAAATTGCTCCCAAGGATGAACCAGACTTGCGGAGGTCTACCATTTTTTTTCTGAGCTCTTGGCTGATTTCGTGGATGGGTTTTCCTTTGTAATCCGTGATTGTCTGGAGTCCCTGCCACATACGTCTCATGTCTGAGCCGCTGAATTGTGACTCGACTTTGTCTCTGTCCTGACGTTTTGCTTGTTTGACTGCCTTATGGAGGGCATAACTGGACTGTTTGTATTCAACCATATTCCCAGTCACATTGCCGTGGTTAGATGTGATGGTTTGCGCTTTCAGTTTTGAATGAATGCTGCCATCTATCCACATTTTTGGTTTGGGTAGGATTTAATCGTCACAGTGGGAACAACATCCCCTATACACTTCCTGATGAACTCAGTCACCGTATCAGTATATACATCAATGTCATTCTCAGAGGCAACCCGGAATATATCCCAGTCCGCGTGATCAAAACAATCTTGAAGCATGGATTCCGATTGGTCAGACCGGCGATGAATAGACCTTAGCACGTGTACTTCCTGTTTGAAGAGAGGAGCAGAATGGAGTCGTGATCTGATTTGCCAAAGGGAGGGCGGGGGAGGGCCTTGTAGCCATCCCGGAAGGGAGAGTAACAATGGTCGAGAGTTTTTGAAGCTGAAGTACTACAGGCAATGTATTGACAGAACTTCGGCATCGTTTTCCTTAGATTTGCTTTGTTAAAATCCCCTGCTACAATAAATGCGGCCTCAGGATATGTGGTTTCCAGTTTGCACAAACCAAGTGTAGTTCCTTGTGGGCCGTTGTGGTATCGGCTTGAGGGGGAATATACACGGCTCTCTTGGGAGGGAATGCGGATGGCATTTGATTGTGAGGTATTCTAGGTCGGGTGAACAAAAGGACTTGACTTCCTGTACGTTACCACAATCACACAATGAGTAGTTAGTCATGAAACATACACCTCTGCCTTTCTTCTTCCCGGAGAGTTTTTTATTTTTGTTTATTTTAAAGTCATTTAGCAGACACTCTTATCCAGAGCAATTAGGGTTAAGTGCCTTGCTCAAGGGCACGTCGACAGATTTTTCACCTAGTCGGCTCGGGGATTAGAACCAGCGACCTTTCGGTTACTGGCACAACGCTCTTACCCACTAAGCTACCTGCCGTCCATAACCCCATGACATTAATTCAGTGAACTGGAGCTACTACTGGAGCTCCTTGTCTGTCATATCTTCATCATCATCCTCCTCCTCATCATCATCAGAGTCATCTTCTACCTCCTCTTCATCACTGGATGTGTCGATGTCGTCCTCCAGGTCTTCATCCTCGGAGTCTGATGTTCTGCCCTTCTTTGCCATCCTTCCCTGCTCTGGGTTGTCGAGGATTTTCAATTTATTTGGGTTTTACTCCAAGTACTTTGCCTGTTCCTTTGGGAACATGGTATTAAACCAGCTGTGTAGCTCTACTTGGTACTCCCTGGTCCTCTCCTGGGCCATTATCTGGTAGCATTCCTTTTCCTTCTGGGGCAGCTTCTTCCACAGTGGGCTGACCACGGACATGCACTCCCTGGAGCTGAGGTGGCTCGACTCGGCTCTCAGCTCCGCCATCTTCTCGCTGTAGAACATTGTGTGACCCCCACTCAGGTGGTTTTCTTGGGCTCGCCTTGAAACTTAATTTTCATCCCTTTTTGGGCAGCCAACGTTGAGGTCTGCACGCTTTTCCTGTTCTCCACTAGGATGCGCTGCTGCTCCTTGTCTGTCACAGTACACAAAAATCAGTTAATGTTGACCTCGTATTCTTTCTGCACGAGTTCTTTATTCCTCTCTGCACGATGTACTGAGAACCCAGCTGGCTGTATGGACGGGGTAGTATATCTGGAGAGAGCCATGATTCCGTGAAAGTATGTTCCAGTCCCTTATGTCTCTCTGGAAGGAGATCCTCGCCCTGAGCTTGTCTACTTTATTGTCCAGGGTCTGAAAATTAGCGAGTAATATACTTGGAAGCAGTGGATGGTGTGCACGCCTCCTGAGTCGGACTAGAAGTCCACTCCGAATACCTCTTCTCCGCTGGTGGCATCTTGGAGCAGCCTCAGGGATAAGTTCAATTGCCTTGCGGGGGGGGGGGGGGGTACGAACGAATGATCCAATTCAGAAAAGTCGTATTCCTGGTCGTAATGCTGGTGAGTTACCGCCGCTCTGATATCCAGAAGTTATTTCCGGCTGTATGTAATAATGCAAAAAAAAACTACGTTTTGGGCTAATAATGTAAGAAATATCAAACAAATTAAAAAATTAATGCAATGTTGCTTCGGACCTAGCAACAGAGCTGCCAAGGGAACCTGATCCAATATTAACATTCCTACTCTGAGACACTTTGTGAATACGGGCCCAGAAATATGACATGGGGTTTTGGTACCAATACACCTGTTCACTTGTTCCGTTCAAAGGTTTGTGAGGGATGGACGGTGATCCTACCTCCACATTGATGACGACTGGCACCCAGGTGGACAGTGGTGGGCTGCCTTTGTCAGTTGCTGTCACGTTTAACTTAACCTGCCCATTATCCTCGTCCTGCATGGCCTCTCTGTCTAGCGGGCCATTGTTCTCCAACCAGCCTGTGGTGGGGTCAATGGTGAAGTTGGCACTGTAGTCACTGGTCACTATTCCGTACTCGATCTCGCTGTTGGGTGGCTCATCTCTGTCAGTAGCCTGAAAAAACGAGAAGAAGGAAGAAAATCATCAACAACTAGAAGCAGCACAGAGGTCTATCTAGGTAGCAAAATTCTGGTAACTTTCCCCAAATTCCTAGGTTTTCCAGAAATCCCAGTTGGAAGATACCTGGAATTCAGTACGGAATAAGCAGGAAATCTGGAATCCTCTGACCTGGATTTTTAGAAAACCTGGGAATATTTGGAAAGTTACTGGAATTTTCCTGGTCTACGGGTCTGCCATAGAGCAACATAGGGGTCAGCTGTAGAGCGGTATTAACCCTTTGGTTACTGCGTGTAGAGCAGGGGTCTCAAACTCATTCCATGGAGGGCCCCAGTGGCTGCTGGTTGTTGTTGTGTCCAATGAAGACCTAGACCACCAGGTGAGGAAAGTTCCTAACTAATCACTGACCTTAATGGATAAATGAAGTACAAGGAAGGAGTGAAAACCCTGCAAACTCTCAGCCCTCCATGGAATGAGTTTGACACCTGTGGTGTGGAGCAGGGGTTTTCTAACATCTCCTCTGGGACGCCCAGGCGTTCCATGTTTTTATTTATTTATACAAGGGTCAATTAAAGAACAATTTCTTTTTTTACAATGCTTATTCCACACTTGGATTCAACTTGTCAACTAATCATCAAGTCCTTGATTAGGTGAATCAGTTGAGCTGGTTCAGGGCTACAACAACATTATAAAACGTCTGGGGGTCCCCGAGGAGAGGTTTGGAAACCCACTTGCATAGAGACGCAGATACTGACCTGTACTTGAATTCTCAGGTTTGAGCCCTCTTTCACAAAGTCGATGTAGGATTCTCTGTTGAACTGTGGTGTCTGGTCGTTGATGTCTGTCAGTGTGATTTGTAACACGGTGGTCCCCGTGTTGTTGGCCTGGTCTCTTGCTTGCAGAGTTGCAGAATGCAGGGAGATGACCTCGCGGTCAATCAGTTTGCTGTTTGTCACAAAGATGCGCCCTGTCTTTGCATCCACGTCGAAGTACTTTAGTCTGAAAACCAGAAATCCCTTTTAGTATTTAGTTCTCATGTATTGGGTCTCGTTTCAACAAACTTTGCCACCCCAATGTCAGACAACATCAAAGTTGATATACTGTATATTGTTAATGTTGTATGTTGTATGAAAGCCTATTATAAAGGAAACTACATTAATGAAGAATCATAAAGACATAAGAAAACCCTGGAATTCATTACAAATACAACATACAGTATGATGGAATGCAGTGTACATACATGCTGTCTGGAAGAAGTCTGTATCTGATGCTGTCTTTATCCATAGTGTCGGGATCGGTTGCCTGGGGGGGGGGGGGGGGGGGGGGGAGTAGAGTTTTGTGTTTGTACTTCCAATACATTTAGCAGCAACAATCAAAACAGAGGCAAGAACACAATCAAAGGCCGAATCACATTTTTTTACAAGAGTGTTTGATTTTACATAGCAGTGTGTCCTGGGTTGAGTGACTTAACACTGGATACTTCAACACACCGTTCAAATCAAACACGGTGCGCATTGCACATTGGTTGAATTCCAGCCAGAATGGTAACAATAAAATGGACCTACTGTTATCGTGTCCACAGCGGTTCCATTAGCACTGTGCTCATCAACCTCGAGGTCGTAGGTTTCTTTGGGGAACGTGGGGCTGTTGTCATTAATGTCTGTGATCTGAATGGTGACTGTGGCCGTGGAACAGCAGTCTACCGTGTTGGAGAGATCCTCGGCGATAATCTGCACAGGAAAAACAACCACGACTCACCTCACGTTTAAAACACACACTTTCGGACAGAGTTAGAATGTTGGTTCTTTGTGGTGAATATCAATAAGTAAACCTCGGGTTAAAAAGCTGTGCACTATTTGGTGAAGAGGGTGCCATTTGAGACAGAGTGTTGGTTTTTGAAAATGGTGATATGATCGTCAAAACAATATTTTTTTGGGGTACAATGTATTGTTGATCATGCGGTATCATTGTTCACGTTCTGCAGCTTGGCAACCGGCCCGTTAGAGACCGTTAAATGTCTCTCACGTGTCCGAAGTTCACCTGGCTATACCGTGTGAAAGGTGCAGTGCTACCTCCTTCCACATCAGTAATCACCCTGTATGCACAAAACCTGTTTCAGCAAAGCTAGGATAATTCTGGCATTGGACACACTCCAAACCACTTAGTTTGTCTGGTTGAATTCTTCAATCAACTTGTCACACATCTTCTTTGAAAATGTTGTCAAATGTATTTGAATGATTATGATGACCTGGTGATTCTTGATGATTTGACTGTTTGTCTATGGTTTCAGTCAGTCAAAATATAGTGAAGACGTTTGCCACATTATGTGGACATAGTACCCTACTTTTGACCCGGTCCTTATTGGGTGAAAAGTAGTGCACTAAATAGGGAATAGGTTGCCATTTGGGACACATAAAGTTTTACTTCTTACCTGGACAACCATTGATTTCTTCGTCTCATAGTCCACAGCCTGGGAGTTCTTGACCATGATCTGAACTGGGCTTTCTGAGTAGGCAATCTGTGGCGACACACTGAACGCATCCTTGTCTGGTCCGGCAAGGCTTAGTTCGAATCTTCCATTGTCTCCCTACATCAGAATACAGACGTTGACCGATTTTCTCACATGACTTTGATGTTTAAAAGATAAATACACATGTGTGATTAGGGTTGCACAATTCTGGTAACTTTTTTAAAAAATCCCAGGTTTTCCAGTAATCCTTGTTGGAGGATTCCAGATTTTGTTATTCATTACTCCTTTTCCCCTCCTAATTCCGGGAATCTTCCAACCAATAGTTCCAGAAAATTCCAAAATGTTGCAACCCTATTTGTTATAAAGGACTCTGACCTGATCCAGATCTTTGGCTTTGATGTTGAGGCCGTCGACTGGAACACCCATGGAGGAGTGCTCAAAGATGTTGGCCGTGAAGCTGCTGGCCTCCACGCAGGGATCGGTGGGATTCACGCCGCAGCTATAAAATTTAGGCTTGTTGTCGTTGATGTCACCGATGGTAATCCGCACCTCAGTAGTGGTTTGGGCTTGGGTCCCCAGGACACTTGGATTCTTCTCCGTTGCCTGGAATTGTAGTTTTATTAACAGTAGGTCAGCTCGAAAATGAAATATTGTCTTTCGGATAATTACATTTGGAAATGCTGTAAAGGATTAAGCAATAAAAGCATACCGTCACTTCAAGGACGACGACGAAATTGATGTCCGACAAAGCCTCTCGGTCGATATCACTTTTGACAGTTATGATTCCATTACTGGCTGTGATCTCAAACAGGTCATTGGTACCTGCAAAAAATAACAAAACATATTATCAGAGTTCAATCTTCATCCTAATTCCAACAATTTATTTATAAAATATTTTTATTCCTTTATCTTTTCAAGAGTTTTCAGCACAACGGCGATGGACTGATGTTTCCCGCTAACAACCTGAAATGAGCAGATGTTCAGAGAGATGTAGTTTTGCTCACCTTCAATGCTGTAGGTGATGACATCATTGATTCCTGTGTCCTGATCAATTGCTTGCACTTTAAACACAGACTGGCCCTGAAATGAAACGTCAACAAAGGCTTTTGTCCCCTGTTTGCCACCCCAAAAGTTGTAAATGTCCCTGTTTCAAAAAGTAGTGCACCAAATAAGGTAAAGGGTGCCATTAGGGACCTTAACGTTTACAATTGTTTATCTATTTAGGAAGATGTGTGTGTACTGGAATACGGCACCTAGCTGCTGTGTACAACAACAGTAAACCAATAAAAAAGGACTTAGCTGTTGGTCGAAACGCACGATGGGAACATCGTTTCACATTCTCAGGCGGTTGAACTATGTACTAAAGGGAAAGTGCCAATTTTGGCAACACCTGACTCACCACAGGAGAATGCTCATTGACAGTGGTCGCGTAAGGAGTGCTTAGAAACTGTGGATCCAGGTCTGGGATGTCCACTACGGTGATGAAGGCAAAGGCAGTGTTGGACTGATAAACAATTCCTTCATTATACACAGGGCCTCCACCATCCTGTGAGGGGAAACACAATCACAAACAGAAAACCACATTTAATAGGCCAGTTTCTCAGATTAAGCCCACAACTGGACCAAAAAGCATGATCAATTCCAGAAAGGACTTGTTTTTATAGGAATCCAGAAAACCACTTCCAGTAAGTGACTAGTAAGTGACTAGTGAAGATACAGTGAATAGAGAAGTGTTGAGATGGGCTAGTGAATAGAGAAGTGTTGAGATGGGCTAGTGAATAGAGAAGTGTTGAGATGGGCTAGTGAATAGAGAAGTGTTGAGATGGGCTAGTGAATAGAGAAGTGTTGAGATGGGCTAGTGAATAGAGAAGTGTTGAGATGGGCTAGTGAATAGAGAAGTGTTGAGATGGGCTAGTGAATAGAGAAGTGTTGAGATGGGCTAGTGAATAGGGAAGTGTTGAGATGGGCTAGTGAATAGGGAAGTGTTGAGATGGGCTAGTGAATAGGGAAGTGTTGAGATGGGCTAGTGAATAGAGAAGTGTTGAGATGGGCTAGTGAATAGGGAAGTGTTGAGATGGGCTAGTGAATAGAGAAGTGTTGAGATGGGCTACTTACTGTTGCCTTGATCTTCAACCGATAGAAAGTGCTCAAACTGGTAAAACTCAGTGTTTTAATCAGTTTGACTTCGCCATTATACTCATTGATAGAAAAATGAGTTAGTCCATCATTTGGACTAGCCTAGAAATGAGGAGAGGGTTGGGTTTAAATAAATGTAGTCGATATAACAATCTTAAGCCATATTGTCTGTTCTAATTTGCCCCAATGTCTGTTGAGAAGGGATTGCATTGTTATCTGCTACGTGACTAATGTTGGGGATGTAACGCGGTCCCCCCGTTCACCGTTTATGTTTTGAGTCAGGTTCACTTATGTATCAATACAGAAAATCTCCTTTGTGTCCAAAAGCAATACTTACCTCATCAATGCTGTACTTTACAACAGCAGCAGGTCCAGAATCTACGTCATTGGCAGATACTTGAAACAGAACAGTGTCCAAGGTGGTATTCTAATAACGAAAAACAGACAAAGGGAGGCAAGGACGTTGGAGGCAAAATAGTACTTTTTTCATCACCATTTAGAAAAGTACCCTTTTCAAGAGCAGAGCGCAATGATTGTTTCCTGACTACACACACTAGCAACGGACCCGGTTAGATGTAGATTTTCCGTACTAAGTCTTATAGGATCAAGTGAGAATGAAATCACTGAGGATTACCAGCAAACTACATACAGAATTAACTGTAGGCTAAAAGCTCACTGCTATCAGTAGGCCTGTAGCACCTTTAAATGGGCAGTGCAGTCAAACACGTGATTTTCCTTTTTAGTGCATTCGGAAAGTATTCAGACCCCTTGACTTTTTCCACATTTTGCTACGTTACAGCCTTATTCTATTTTATTTATATATTTTTTGTATTACTAATCTATACACAGTACCCAATGAAAAAAATAAGTATTATTGGGTATGATGCTACAAGCTTGGCACACCTGTATTTGGGGAGTTTCTCCCATTCTTCTCTGCAGATCCTCTCAAGCTCTGTCAGGTTGGATGGGGAGCGTTGCTGCACAGCTATTTTCAGGTCTCTCCAGAGATGTTCGATCGGGTTCAATTCCGAGACTTGTCCCGAAGCCACTCCTGCGTTGTCTTGGCTGTGTGCTTAGGGTCGTTGCCCTGTTGGAAGGTGAACCTTCACCCCAGTCTAGTCAGGATCGAGAGAAAGATGAACTGAGCAAAGTACAGAGAGATCCTTGATGAAAACCTGCTCCAGAGCGCTCAGGACCTCAGACTGGGGCGAAGGTTCACCTTCCAACAGGACAACGACCCTAAGCACACAGCCAAGACAACGCAGGAGTGGCTTCGGGACAAGTCTCTGAATGTCCTTGAGTGGCCTAGCCAGAGCCAGGACTTGAACCCGATCGAACATCTCTGGAGAGACCTGAAAATAGCTGTGCAGCGACGCTCCCCATCCAACCTGACAGAGCTTGAGAGGATCTGCAGAGAAGAATGGGAGAAACTCCCCAAATACAGGTGTCTAAGCTTGTAGATGTCTTACCCAAGAAGACTCAAGGCTGTAATCGCTGCCAAAGGTGCTTCAACAAAGTACTGAGTAAAGGTTCTGAAAACGTATGTAAATATGATATTTCAGTTTTTTATTTGTATAAATGTGCAAACATTTCTAAAAACCAGTTGTTGCTTTGTCATTATGGGGTATTGTGTGTAGATTGATGAGTGAAAAATATCAATTTAATCAATTTTAGAATAAGGCTATAACGTAACAAAATGTGGAAAAAGTCAAGGGGTCTGAATACTTTCCGAATGCACTGTATATATATATATATTATATATTTCCACACTACGTCAAAATAACACTTTAAAATTAAAAATGATGATAATGCCCTTTTAGTGTAAGAACTTTTTAAAGAAAAAAAATGCCTGTAATTTCAGCCTGTTCTGGTGGGATGGAGTTATTGGCCCACAGCATCATTATTCTGACCAATGACCAGTCGTATCTGATCTGATCATATTTGATTTGCATATGTATCCTACTTTGAAGGGGTAAGCGGGGAAGGCTGTAGAGTCTAGACGATCCTATACGCCAATCAGGGCTGTGTAGGTAAATATATTTAAATTTGTATCAACACGCCTACAAGATCGGACTGAGCATATTACAAATATAGTTGGGAGTTATTTTCATGAAATAAACACATACAGTGATGATTAAAAAATAGAAAGACCACTAATCTCAATATGATCAGGCATAGTCAGTTGTAGGGAAGGAACGTTACCGGTAACTTTCAAAATGTGCCATTAAACTAACTGAATTTTGAAAACATTAAAAGATTTTAGGGAATTTTCATAACATAATATCCTTTATATTGTTACATTTGTTCTTTCTTTATTTACTATGTCAATATATCTTTGAAAGGTTTTTGGGCAGAACTAGTGGCAGTCAACAGTTGGTAGTGTTTGTAGAGTTCATTGCAAATTATATAATTGTTTTTTCATTAATAATGATGTTGTTTTCTCCTGAACCATATGGTCTTTTTTTACTAGAAACTCATGGACACAGATATACAGTGCCTTCAAAAAGTATTCACACCCCTTGAATTTTCCACATTTTGTTATGTTACAGCCTGAATTTAAAATGGATTAAATTGAAATTTTGTGTCACTGGCCTACACACAATACCCAAAAATATCATAGTGGAAATATGTTTTTAGGCATTTACAAATTAATAAACAAATAAAAGCTGCATTTTCTTCAGTCAATAAGTAGTTTACATACACCTTAGCCAAATACATTTAAACTCAGTTTTTCACAATTGCTGACATTTAATCCTAGTAAAAATTCCCTGTCTTAGGTCAGTTAGGATCACCACTTTATTTTAAGAATGTGAAATGTCAGAGTAATAATAGAGAGAGTGATTTAGTTCAGCTTTTATTTATTTCATGACATTCCCAGTGGGTCAGAAGTTTACATACACTCAATTAGTATTTGGTAGCATTGCCTTTAAATTGTTTAACTTGGGTCAAACGTTTCGGGTAGCCTTCCACAAGCTTCCCACAATAAGTTGGGTGAATTTTGGCCCATTCCTCCTGACAGAGCTGGTGTAACTGAGTCAGGTTTGTAGGCCTCCTTGCTCGCACACACTTTTTCAGTTCTGATACAAATGTTCTATAGGATTGAGGTCAGGGCTTTGTGATGGCCACTCCAATAATTTGACTTTGTTGTCCTTAAGCCATTTTGCCACAACTTTGGAAGTATGCTTGGGGTCATTGTCCATTTGGAAGATCAATTTGCGACCAAGCTTTAACTTCCTGACTGATGTCTTGAGATGTTGCTTCAATATATCCACATAATTTTCCTTCCTCATGATGCCATCTATTTTGTGAAGGGCACCAGTCCCTCCTGCAGCAAAGCACCCCCACAGCAAGATGCTGCCACCCCCGTGCAAGCAGTCCCCTTTTTCCTCCAAACATAACAATGGTCATTATGGCCAAACAGTTCTATTTTTTTCAGACCAGAGGACATTTCTCCAAAAAGTACAATCTTTGTCCCCATGTGCAGTTGCAAACCGTAGTCTGGCTTTTTATGGCGGTTTTGGAGCAGTGGCTTCTTCCTTGCTGAGCGGCCTTTCAGGTTATATCGATATAGGACTCGTTTTACTGTGGATATAGATACTTTTGTACTTGTTTCCTCCAGCATCTTCACAAGGTCCTTTGCTGTTGTTCTGGGATTTATTTACACTTTTCGCACCAAAGTACGTTCATCTCTAGGAGACAGAACACATCTCCTTCCTGAGTGGTATGACGGTTGCGTGGTCCCATGGTGTTTATACTTGCGTACTATTGTTTGTAAAGATGAACGTGGTACCTTCAGGCGTTTGGAAATTGCTCCCAAGGATGAACCAGACTTGTGGAGGTCTACAATTTTTTTTATGATGTCTTGGCTGATTTCTTTTGATTTTCCCATGATGTCAAGCAAAAAGGCACTGAGTTTGAAGGTAGACCTTGAAATACATCCACAGGTACACCTCCAATTGACTCAAATGATGTCAATTAGCCTATTAGAAGCTTCTAAAGCCATGACATCATTTTTTTCATGCATAAAGTAGATGTCCTAACTGACTTGCCAAAACTATAGTTTGTTAACAAGAAATTTGTGGAGTGGTTGGAAAACGAGTTTTAATGATTCCAACCTAAGTGTATGAAAACTTCCGACTTCAACTGTATGCACGCACCACTTTTCCTTGATTTATTTTTTAGAATTTTTGGAAACTAGTTAATTTTTTCATTTCACTTTATCAGTTTGGACTATTTTGTGTATGTCCATTACATGAAATCCAAATAAAAATCCATTTGAATTACAGGTTGTAATGCAACAAAATAGGAAAAACGCCAAGGGGGATGAACACTTTTGCAAGGCACTGTATTGGTAAAAAAATAAAAATAATAAAAGCAGACATTGAATATCCCTTTGATGGGGAAATTATTAATTACACTTTGGATGGTGTATCAATACACTCAGTCACTACAAAGATACAGGCGTCCTTCCTAAGGCGTCCTTCCTAAGGACACCACTCAGGGATTTCACCATGAGGCCAAGGATGACTTTAAAACAATTACAGAGTTTAATGGCTGTGATAGGAAAAACTGAGGATGGATCAACAACATTGTAGTTAGTCCACAATACTAACCTAAATGACAGAGTGAAAAGAAGGATGCTTGTACAGAATAAAAAATATTCCAAAGCATGGATCCTGTTTGTAACAAGGCACTAAAGTAAAACTGAGAAAAATGTGGCAAAGAAATTCATTTTATGTCCTGAATACAAAGCATTTTGTTTGGGGAAATCCAACACAACACATCACTGAGTACCACTCTTCACATTATCAAGCATGGTGGTGGCTGCATCATGTTATGGGTATGCTTGTCATCAGCAAGGTCTATGGAGTTTTTTAGGATTAGAGCTAAGCACAGGCAAAATGCTAGAGAAAAACCTGGTTCAGTCTGCTTCCAACAGACACTGGGAGACAAATTCACCTTTCAACAGGACAGTAACCTAAAACACAAGGCCAAATATACATTGGAGTTGCTTACCAAGATGACACTGAATGTTCCTGAGTGGCCTAGTTACAGTTTTGACTTAAATCGACTTGATAATCTATGGCAAGACTTGAAAATGGCTGTCTAGCAATGATCAACCAACTTGACATAGCAAATATTTTACAATCCAGGTGTGCAAAGCTCTTAGAGACTTACCCAGAAAGACTCACAGCTGTAATCGCTGACAAAGGTGATTCTAACATGTATTGACTCAGTGGTGTGAATACTTCTGTAAATTAGATATTTTTGTATTTCATTTTCAATACATTTGCTAAAATGTCTAAAAACATGTTTTCACTTCATTTAACTTTTATTGTGTGTAGATGGGTGAGAAGAAAATCTATTGAATCCATTTTGAATTCAAGGTTTAACACAACAAAATACGGAAAAAGCCAAGGGATAAGAATACTTTCTGTAAATAATATGAAAATAATATAAATACATTTCAAAAACGTTATTCAAGTATAAATTACCAAAGTTTCTATAGATTTCCCAAATTACCTGATAGTTTACCAACATTTCTGAAAATGTGGGTAACTTTGTAAATTAGTTTTGAAACCATAGTCAGTTGAGATGATTTCACAGGCTCATGAAGTTGCCCACAATTTCTTAGTTATGGCTGGAAATTAATTGAATCTGCCATATAAATGAAATTCTTATTAAAGGAATGTAAAATTAGTCATTGTACTTACTTCTTTGACATTTTCGTTGTAAGGTGCATTTTCAAATATGGGTCGGTTATCATTCGCATCTGTTATGATTATCTGAATTACACCGGGAGTCTAAAAAAGACGACATGATATATTGTTATAAAACATGTATCAATGTGTTTAAAAACAATAAAAGAAATCTATAAAAGTATAGTTAAATTTTTTTTAAAGTTTGGTATTTTATTAGGATCCCCATTAGCTGTTGCAAAAGCAGCAGCTACTCTTCCTGGGGTCCACACAAAACACGAAACATGACATAATACAGAACATTAATAGACAAGAACAGCTCAAGGACAGAACTACATAAAACAATTTTAAAGGCACACGTAGCCTACATATCAATACATAGACACAAACTATCTAGGTCAAATAGGGGAGAGGTGTTGTGCCGTGAGGTGTTGCTTTATCTGTTTTCTGAAACCAGGTTTGATGTTTATTTGAGCAATATGAGATGGAACGGAGCTTTCTGGAATTTGTTCTGGATGTGTGGACTGTGAAAATAGTTAGAGGCTTTACTGTGAACTTACTGTATAAACACCGTCAGAAACCACAACGCCGATAGAGAATACACCATTGCCCTAAACAAATATAAGCTAATCAATTAGAGATTCAGGTTAGGCAAAATAAAGGCTAAAATACTGAAATATTGAAATGGCTGAAATAATACTTAAACACTGAAATGGCTGAAACAATACTGAAATACTCAAATGGCTGATAATACTAAAATGGCTGGAATAATACTAAAATAGCTGAAACAATACTCCAAATACTGAAATGGCTGAAACAATCCTGAAATAATAAAATGGCTGAAACAATACTGAAATAATAAAATGGCTGAAACAATACTGAAATAATAAAATGGCTGAAACAATCCTGAAATAATAAAATGGCTGAAACAATCCTGAAATACTCAAATGGGAGACGAGGACCTACATCATCTCTCTCCAAGGGTATCCGGATGGTTACTCTCCCTGTGTTTGGGTCGACATTAAAGTAGGTTGATTTTGTCCCTTCAATCTTGTATGTAAGTGGGTCAGAATCAGGATCAGATGCTTCTATTTGAAAGGCAAACTCATCTGAAGGGAGAGGGTGTTGGGTTGACAAAATGTGAGTCAAAAACCAGTATGTGGCAAAGAGCATGCATGAATTGACATACTATTTTGTTATAAAAAACCTTTCATATTACTGAGTACAATAAACACATACTTATTGGAGTATCTTCCACTACTTCGGCAAAAATTGTTGAAATGCTCGGGATTCGGTTTTGGCTTTGAGCTGTAGAAAAAGCAGAGACAGTTTCATCAGAAATAAATGACGAGTAATCATATCAAGTCCAAAGCAAAATGGGTCCTACTTCACAATAATATTGATAACATTGAGTTTAAACTTCCTCGCTGTATCTGTGAAATTGCCATTAAACATACAGTATCAATGTATGAATAGACATCACATTATTAGACGTAAAGTTAATGCGGTTAAATAGACAGTGCAACAGGAGTCCTGGGTCTCTAACCACATCCTATTCACTATATAGGGTACTACTTTTGACCAGGGCTCGTATTCCCTGTGGGGTCAAAATAAATGCTCTACTTAGGGAATAAGGTGCCATTTGGGATGCAGGGAGGATGTGTTTAGAGACCCAGGTAGGTACTCACCTCCAGCGAGAGGATGTGTTTAGAGACCCAGGTAGGTACTCACCTCCAGCGAAGAGGATGTGTTTAGAGACCCAGGTAGGTACTCACCTCCAGCGAAGAGGATGTGTTTAGAGACCCAGGTAGGTACTCACCTCCAGCGAGAGGATGTGTTTAGAGACCCAGGTAGGTACTCACCTCCAGCGAGAGGATGTGTTTAGAGACCCAGGTAGGTACTCACCTCCAGCGAGAGGATGTGTTTAGAGACCCAGGTAGGTACTCACCTCCAGCGAAGAGGATGTGTTTAGAGACCCAGGTAGGTACTCACCTCCAGCGAGAAGATGTGTTTAGAGACCCAGGTAGGTACTCACCTCCAGCGAGAGGATGTGTTTAGAGACCCAGGTAGGTACTCACCTCCAGCGAGAGGATGTGTTTAGAGACCCAGGTAGGTACTCACCTCCAGCGAGAGGATGTGTTTAGAGACCCAGGTAGGTACTCACCTCCAGCGAGAGGATGTGTTTAGAGACCCAGGTAGGTACTCACCTCCAGCGAAGAGGATGTGTTTAGAGACCCAGGTAGGTACTCACCTCCAGCGAGAGGATGTGTTTAGAGACCCAGGTAGGTACTCACCTCCAGCGAAGAGGATCACAAGACACAGCAGCAGCAGACTGCCCTCCATCCTCAGCAGGCCTGCTAACTCAGACTACACACAAAACACCATAGAATGACATATTATATGTCAAAACACCATAGAATGACATATTATATGTCAAAACACCATAGAATGACATATTATATGTCAAAACACCATAGAATGACATATTATATGTCAAAACACCATAGAATGATATATTAGAACTCAAAACATCCTAGAATTGCATATTAGAACTCAAAATGGGTCCTGTACTACTCTGGCTGACCCTGTAAAACAACGTATTTCCCTGCACCTATGTGGTGTAAGTGACATTTTCTTCTTATTAGAACTCAAAATACCATTGAAGTACATTTTAGAACTCAAAATACAATAGAAGTACATTTTAGAACTCAAAATACCATAGAAGTACATTTTAGAACTCAAAATACCATTGAAGTACATTTTAGAACTCAAAATACAATTGAAGTACATTTTAGAACTCAAAACACCATAGAAGTACATTTTAGAACTCAAAATACCATTGAAGTACATTTTAGAACTCAAAACACCTTCTCAGTCAATCAGATACAGTGGGGAGAACAAGTATTTGATACACTGCCGATTTTGCAGGTTTTCCTACTTACAAAGCATGTAGAGGTCTGTAATTTTTTATCATAGGTACACTTCAACTGTGAGAGATGGAATCTAAAACAAAAATCCAGAAAATCACATTGTATGATTTTTAAGGAATTCATTTGCATTTTATTGCATGACATAAGTATTTGATCACCTACCAACCAATAAGAATTCCGGCTCTCACAGACCTGTTAGTTTTTCTTTAAGAAGCCCTCCTGTTCTCCACTCATTACCTGTATTAACTGCACCTGTTTGAACTCGTTACCTGTATAAAACACACCTGTTCACACACTCAATCAAACAGACTCCAACCTCTCCACAATGGCCAAGACCAGAGAGCTGTGTAAGGACATCAGGGATAAAATTGTAGACCTGCACAAGGCTGGGATGGGCTACAGGACAATAGGCAAGCAGCTTGGTGAGAAGGCAACAACTGTTGGCGCAATTATTAGAAAATGTAAGATGTTCAAGATGACGGTCAATCACCCTAGGTCTGGGGCTCCATGCAAGATCTCACCTCGTGGGGCATCAATGATCATGAGGAAGGTGAGGGATCAGCCCAGAACTACACGGCAGGACCTGGTCAATGACCTGAAGAGAGCTGGGACCACAGTCTCAAAGAAAACCATTAGTAACACACTATGCCGTCATGGATTAAAATCCTGCAGCGCACGCAAGGTCCCCCTGCTCAAGCCAGCGCATGTCCAGGCCCGTCTGAAGTTTGCCAATGACCATCTGGATGATCCAGAGGAGGAATGGGAGAAGGTCATGTGGTCTGATGAGACAAAAATAGAGCTTTTTGGTCTAAACTCCACTCGCCGTGTTTGGAGGAAGAAGAAGGATGAGTACAACCCCAAGAACACCATCCCAACCGTGAAGCATGGAGGTGGAAACATCATTCTTTGGGGATGCTTTTCTGCAAAGGGGACAGGACGACTGCACCGTATTGAGGGGAGGATGGATGGGGCCATGTATCGCGAGATCTTGGCCAACAACCTCCTTCCCTCAGTAAGAGCATTGAAGATGGGTCGTGGCTGGGTCTTCCAGCATGACAACGACCCGAAACACACAGCCAGGGCAACTAAGGAGTGGCTCCGTAAGAAGCATCTCAAGGTCCTGGAGTGGCCTAGCCAGTCTCCAGACCTGAACCCAATAGAAAATCTTTGGAGGGAGCTGAAAGTCTGTATTGCCCAGCAACAGCCCCGAAACCTGAAGGATCTGGAGAAGGTCTGTATGGAGAAGTGGGCCAAAATCCCTGCTGCAGTGTGTGCAAACCTGGTCAAGACCTACAGGAAACGTATTATCTCTGTAATTGCAAACAAAGGTTTCTGTACCAAATATTAAGTTCTGCTTTTCTGATGTATCAAATACTTATGTCATGCAATAAAATGCAAATTAATTACTTAAATATCATACAATGTGATTTTCTGGATTTTTGTTTTAGATTCCGTCTCTCACAGTTGAAGTGTACCTATGATAAAAATGACAGACCTCTACATGCTTTGTAAGTTGGAAAACCTGCAAAATCGGCAGTCTATCAAATACTTGTTCTCCCCACTGTACGTGCGGGTAGCCTATCCATCCGGCATGTAGCTAGCTAGCTAGCTAAGCAAACAACATGTAATTTAGCTTGCTTCATCATAGATCAGGTTTTTGGAAAGAGCTCGACATCGGCAAGTCCTCGTCCTAGTAAAGTTGTCTGTCTCACTACTGTCCTCACCACTGTAGATGGCAAGCAAATCAAACAATATTGGATATAGCCATCTAGTTTATCCCCTGAAAGTTAGCTTGTTAACTAGCCGTATTGACCTGATCTGTAGTTAGCTTGTTAACTAGCCATATTGACGCGATCTGTTATTAGCTAGCTAGCCAATTTGACGTGGTCCATCAATAAATATAGCCTATTATGTCTGTAAGCAGCATTCATGATTAAACACTTTTTTTTTTAAACTATGTTGAAAAGGGGATAATGTTAGCTAACTTTGCTAGGTAGTCCTACAGTGCCTTCAGAAAGTATTCACACCTAGGGTGTCAAGGCGTGCTGAAGGTGGGTGTGGTGTATGAATCATGCGCAGGACGCAGAGGCTCAGTCCAAAGGCTTTAGTGCAATATATATAAAAGACAGAAGCACAATAAGCCCGAAGGCGAATACACGGCGCACACAGGCGACAAAACAAATGGCGCACAAACATGTGCAAAATAACCTCTCCAAAACACTGGAGGGAAAATGAAGCTCCAAACACGAAACAGAAGCGCAATCACACACAACGACAAGCACACACAACGAGAACTAAATAGGACACTATCGAGGACTAACAAGACACAGGTGTACAACATCCAGACAAAACCAAACGAACATGAAACATAGATCGGTGGCAGCTAGTACTCCGGGGACGACGACCGCCGAAGCCTGCCCGAACCAGGAGGAGGAGCAGCCTCGGCCGAAACCGTGACATAGGGATGTGGCGGTCATTAAACTTTGTCAGCCGGTGATTGTCAAGCAAATAACTGTTGGTCTCACGGTAATTGACCGTTAATTAACATAAACACATTTAGCATCTCCTGGCTTCCACGCATAGCCTACAAGCCACTGATGCAGACCTTTGGAACATCTACATTTAAAAAAGTCTAATAAATCCATGTAATATAGCCTACACAAGCACAATAAATCCATTATTTATTTTAGACAGGTCTAAAGAAACATGATATGAAGAAAATGTAGTCTATTTCAGATGAACAGAATAGCATACTCTGAGTTGTCCTTATGTTACGCCGCGATCTGGCTATGCCAAATGGCTGTGGGCTAACAGTAGTTCATTTGGCAGACAAGATTTGCTTAGAATTCCATGGCATTATTTTATATTATTTTATAGTATGAAGAATACAATTGAACATAGCTGAATAAAATAGAAAGGATATTTTCTCCAAACAATTTGAGGGAGTGCGCACATGCGGCTATTCTGTGTTGAGCGGTTAACAAAGAAACAGGTCCTCCTATATGTTTAATTTAGAGTTATTTATGCACTTAAGTTGTGATTACAAACATTGGGCTATATGTTTAGATTTTTAATACATTCTAAGGCTGCATGATGCGACTCTCATGAAGATTTGAAAAAAGTTGCATGAAAGGCATGAGCTCTGCTCTGTTTCTTGCTCAGGCTGCACACACTTCATCAGTCTCTCATTCACAATTTGACAAGCACTTGATGTTTTTAAATATTTTTATATTTTAAATTTTTAATTTTAATATACATTTTCTAGCGGCATTCCCTTTATGTGGCTGTGGTCGTTGTGCCCTCGGGCTGCATATCATAATTATAATTCCCTTCTCCCGGCTGTGTGCTCCGAAGCACCTCTCACTCACATGGCTCTCTCAGATAGCAAAATTCTTATTAGCAAATCACACGTGATTGGGTCCTTCTCACAGGCTACAAGTGAAGACAGACACATCGGGGACACAACTGCACGCGTCCTTAGCCAATTCTGAGGTGCATATTGAAGATGTTGGAAGAACTGTCCACATTACATTTTTCGTAAGCCAATAAGATGAGTAGGCCTAACGAACAGCAGAAGCATTAGCCTATGTCAATCTACTATCCTCCATAGTACAAAAGTTGACCTATTCTATTCTGTACGAGAAATAAATACTCCAAATATAGTCTGGGACAGTTGTGGGATGCGATAGATCCCAAATTAATACAACCACTAGCATAAAAAAACATTTTTTCCGCAATGTGGCTGACACAACAGATCAGAACGTTTAGCTTAAAATGTTGATAAACTATTAGGCTATTTCTTCACATTATAAGCGCAGCAATGTGCACATGGCAGTAGGCTATAAGTGCGAACGTTCCAAAATGCAATCAATTAGCAGGAAAACACCATTCTCAAAAGTGACCGCAAATGCGATTATGCATGTAATGCTTTTATTATAAAGGTACATTTTTATGGTGAAAATTATCTTCCCCAAACTTGAAACTCAACCGCTGCGTATGTATGCCAGTTAGGCTCTAAACCGCTTGTAAAGCAGATTCACGTGCTTAATTTTAAGAAGTTATTTGGCCGCTTTAGTTGTGATACAAACCTTATCAAAACATATAGGCCTATGGGCTAGGCTACATGAGGTGTGCAACGATGATTTGAAAAAGTCGCAGAAAAAGGCATGCTGGGCATCATTCACAAGTGATACTATGTCATTCACAAGTGATACTATGTCATTCACAAGTGATACTATGTCATTCACAAGTGATACTATGTCATTCACAAGTGATACTATGTCATTCACTAGTGATACTATGTCATTCACAAGTGATACTATGTCATTCACAAGTGATACTATGTCATTCACTAGTGATACTATGTCATTCACTAGTGATACTATGTCATTCACTAGTGATACTATATCATTCACAAGTGATACTATGTCATTCACAAGTGATACTATGTCATTCACAAGTGATACTATGTCATTCACAAGTGATACTATGTCATTCACAAGTGATACTATGTCATTCACAAGTGATACTATGTCTATGTCATTCACAAGTGATACTATGTCATTCACAAGTGATACTATGTCATTCACTAGTGATACTATGTCATTCACTAGTGATACTATGTCATTCACTAGTGATACTATGTCATTCACTAGTGATACTATGTCATTCACAAGTGATACTATGTAATTCACTAGTGATACTATGTCATTCACAAGTGATACTATGTCATTCACAAGTGATACTATGTCATTCACTAGTGATACTATGTCATTCACTAGTGATACTATGTCATTCACAAGTGATACTATGTCATTCACAAGTTATACTATGTCATTCACAAGTGATACTATGTCATTCACAAGTGATACTATGTCATTCACTAGTGATACTATGTCATTCACAAGTGATACTATGTCATTCACAAGTGATACTATGTCATTCACTAGTGATACTATGTCATTCACTAGTGATACTATGTCATTCACTAGTGATACTATGTCATTCACTAGTGATACTATATCATTCACAAGTGATACTATGTCATTCACAAGTGATACTATGTCATTCACAAGTGATACTATGTCATTCACAAGTGATACTATGTCATTCACAAGTGATACTATGTCATTCACAAGTGATACTATGTCATTCACTAGTGATACTATGTCATTCACAAGTGATACTATGTCATTCACAAGTGATACTATGTCATTCACTAGTGATACTATGTCATTCACTAGTGATACTATGTCATTCACTAGTGATACTATGTCATTCACTAGTGATACTATGTCATTCACTAGTGATACTATATCATTCACAAGTGATACTATGTCATTCACAAGTGATACTATGTCATTCACAAGTGATACTATGTCATTCACAAGTGATACTATGTCATTCACAAGTGATACTATGTCATTCACAAGTGATACTATGTCATTCACTAGTGATACTATGTCATTCACAAGTGATACTATGTCATTCACAAGTGATACTATGTCATTCACTAGTGATACTATGTCATTCACTAGTGATACTATGTCATTCACTAGTGATACTATGTCATTCACTAGTGATACTATGTCATTCACTAGTGATACTATATCATTCACAAGTGATACTATGTCATTCACAAGTGATACTATGTCATTCACTAGTGATACTATGTCATTCACAAGTGATACTATGTCATTCACAAGTGATACTATGTCATTCACTAGTGATACTATGTCATTCACTAGTGATACTATGTCATTCACTAGTGATACTATGTCATTCACTAGTGATACTATGTCATTCACTAGTGATACTATGTCATTCACTAGTGATACTATGTCATTCACAAGTGATACTATGTCATTCACAAGTGATACTATGTCATTCACAAGTGATACTATGTCATTCACTAGTGATACTATGTCATTCACTAGTGATACTATGTCATTCACTAGTGATACTATGTCATTCACTAGTGATACTATGTCATTCACTAGTGATACTATGTCATTCACTAGTGATACTATGTCATTCACAAGTGATACTATGTCATTCACTAGTGATACTATGTCATTCACAAGTGATACTATGTCATTCACAAGTGATACTATGTCATTCACTAGTGATACTATGTCATTCACTAGTGATACTATGTCATTCACAAGTGATACTATGTCATTCACAAGTTATACTATGTCATTCACAAGTGATACTATGTCATTCACAAGTGATACTATGTCATTCACTAGTGATACTATGTCATTCACAAGTGATACTATGTCATTCACAAGTGATACTATGTCATTCACTAGTGATACTATGTCATTCACTAGTGATACTATGTCATTCACTAGTGATTCTATGTCATTCACTAGTGATACTATATCATTCACAAGTGATACTATGTCATTCACAAGTGATACTATGTCATTCACTAGTGATACTATGTCATTCACAAGTGATACTATGTCATTCACAAGTGATACTATGTCATTCACTAGTGATACTATGTCATTCACTAGTGATACTATGTCATTCACTAGTGATACTATGTCATTCACTAGTGATACTATGTCATTCACTAGTGATACTATGTCATTCACTAGTGATACTATGTCATTCACAAGTGATACTATGTCATTCACTAGTGATACTATGTCATTCACAAGTGATACTATGTCATTCACAAGTGATACTATGTCATTCACAAGTGATACTATGTCATTCACTAGTGATACTATGTCATTCACTAGTGATACTATGTCATTCACTAGTGGTACTATGTCATTCCCTAGTGATACTATGTCATTCACTAGTGATACTATGTCATTCACTAGTGATACTATGTCATTCACTAGTGATACTATGTCATTCACTAGTGATACTATGTCATTCACTAGTGATAGGCTAATATTGTCACCTATCAGATTACTCTTGATTGAATCTTGTCTTTACATACACTAAATAACTGAAATTAGTTTTGATTTAGAACGGACCGTTATCATGCACCTGTATCGAAACAGGGGCAGGTGAAAACCAATACATGTCATCTATGCACTTAAATTGCGAAGGGAGCATGCTTTTTTTCCTGTGGTTAATGTTCATGCCAGCCAGGTAGGCTATACTCCTGTTGTAAAGAGAAGCAATGTGCTTCATATTAGGAAAGTTGAGAAATAAATATAGTAGGCCTAGCCTATAGAAAGCTGATATACTCAATACTAAACTAAAAGTTGTATTGATAACGTTTACATTACATTTAAGTCATTTAGCAGATGCTCTTA